ATTTTGATGTAGTTTGCTAGTGGAATATAAGGTGGGATGCTTTGCAATTTTTGCTTAAAGTATTCATGTATGTGCACTTAAACAATCGCAGTTGTGCTTAAACAAATGTCACCTAAGTGGGTATTTATTTAAGCTTAAGAAGTTCTAGCTTAAGTGGCCACTACTTTAATCTTAAGCAAGGTTCGCTTAGGTGATGATATACTAAGCTTAAGCAAGACTTTCTTAGGTGGTAATATGTTAAGCTTAAGCGGTCCGATAAATGGCTTTAGGGACAATGGTTGAAGTGTTCTATATCGAGTGATTCAATATATGTCGCTTAAGTGGTTTAATTAGTGACTTAAGAAAACATTTATGTATATTTTGATATAAATTATTCATGTGATTATGATAATTTATATAATTAATGTTGATGCACATGTAGTAATATGGTTATTATTAATGTTTTTAATATATTGTATGAAAAAAATTAGGTTTGAAATGTAGTTGATGATAATATATACAAATATAGTTCATGATAAGTTAGTAAGAGTTGTTTAGTAATTATACATTTAAATTATCATTGACTTAATAGATATGAGAATTCCTGACAGGAGGATAGATAATATAATAGATTCTAGTTGAAGAATTTTTATTGGAATTCATGAATTTTGTCTGTTTTCTCTGGATCATGATACTAATAATATTAAACAAGGAAAGAAAATGTTCTTGCAAAGTTTGTAAGTGTAGGAAGTATGGAATGTATGATGTAGTTAAGGTGAACTTTATGTAAGAAAGAATTTGTGAGTAATTATTACCATTAGACTGGTGAAGCAATTTTTACAATTCCTAGGTTACAACGTTTGTATTCATTAATATGGCTCATGAAATGACATGACATCACTTCCATCAAATACAATCAGGTTATATAAGTAATTCATCTTATTTTAAAGCTTGGATTAAATCTAATGAAAATTGACCCTTTGTTGCTCAAGAACCTTCAAATGTGTTGATGTCTTTGTCCCATTTAACATAACTAGTAAAACTTATTCTTCTTGGTCATTATTACTCCATATAATTTGCCTTCGTTGATGTGTATGCAAATAGAGTTTATATTTTTTACTATCATATTTCTTGGTCCATCAAATCCAAAGCAGAAGATTGATATTTATTTGTGTGACCATAGATAGATAAATTGAAAATGTTGTGTGAATTTGGTTTGTGGACATATGATATAGGCTTAAACTAAAAATTTATGATGAAGATGGCTTTAATATAGATAATAAATTACTTTCTTGCATATGGTATGCTAAGTGGTTGGATGACTATGGGTAGATTTGTTTGTCCAATATTTTTGGAGTGATGCAAGGTATTCACCACCAAATAGAGTTGAAAGTCCTCATGGTTTGATTGTCATCGCCAATTTTTAACCCCAAATAATCTATATAGACAAAACAAAGTATTTTTTGGGAATTTTTATACTGAAAAACTCTTCTTTTATCTCATAAACTCGATGTCATGCACAATGAAAGAAATGTTTTTTTTTTGAAGATTTTATTTTTTTGTCATGGACATCAAAGGTAAGACAAAAGATACAATAAAATCAAGTAAGAAAAGACTTGGAGGTTCATTATTATCACAAAGGTTTAAAGTTACGACCTAGTAGGAATGAAACACTGTGTTGATTTGAGAGAAACAAAGTTGTTTGAAATAAAGAGTCATGATTATCATGTGTTCACCCAACATTTGCTTCCAATTATCTTTAAAGTGTTGCTGAAACCTATATAGAATTCACTTACTAAGTTTAATCAATTTTGGAAAGAAATGAATTTGTCTTTGTTGAGAGAAGAAAATCTCCATGCATGAGAACAAAACATCTCCATCATATTGTTCAAATTAGAACAAATGTTTCCTCATAACTTGTTTTGTGCTACAGAACATCTTCCCATCCATTTGTCGTATGAAGCAAGAGTTGGAAGACCAATACAATATGAATTTTCCATTATCTTGGTTGACTAATTGGCAAATGCACAACTTCTACATAAAGTGAAAAAGATAAAGAAGTTGTACATTTGTATATTCTTTTAAATTGTCTTGAAGTTATCTCTTACTCAAAGTAAACATTTATAGCATATTTTTGTTACTTATGTTTATTAGTTTCATTTTATAACTAATTGTTAAAAATGGATGTGTAGTACATACTTAACTTTGTTATTAAAAATGAACATTCACCTAGACCAAGCAGTTGTGGATGCACAAATATCATATACTTTTTCCATTTAGTTCAAAAGATATGTACGTCACATGTGTTTATTGTTTCAACTAACTTTTTATATAGTTAACAACAATGTTAATAAAATATGCATCATATTTGTAGGTACTTGGATCTCACAAATGGGATTGATTATATGTTCATAAGGAGTTTGGCATGGGTCCTATTAGAAATGTTCATACATAGCATAAATATATTTCATAAATATATTTCTATATATATATATATATATATATATATATATATATATAAATAAGTTTGTTACTTCATCTCACAATGAAGGAATGAGAACAACAAATAATCACATTTGTGTTGGAGGTGGACAATATGATATAATGGAAGGTGATTACCATGGTTTATTACATGTTTTGTTGAAGAGAAGTCCAATGGTTAGCCAAACAAAAAGGTAGTTTTATTTAAATGTGAGTGGTTTAACTGCACTTCTAATGGGTTAAGAATAGATAGTTATGGTAATGTTGAAATTAAGAAAAATAGAAGATATCACAATTATGATGTGTTTGTCTTTACTCAATAAGCAGAACTAGCATAAGTACTTTACATCAATTCTAGAAGGACAAACAGGTTAGTTAGGTGTCATCAAAACCAATGCACATAATCATATAGAATCCAATAAGGAGGAAGTGGTATACCAAGATGATAATTCATAATTAAGGTCATTTCATCTTGTTAATGATAACTTGTCTAACCACTGTGTTGATAATATTGTTACTTTAGAGAAAACGAAAGTTAATTGGGAAAAAGATAAAGAGAAGAGGATGACTCAAAGTTTATGTCAAATAATAAAAAAGAAAATAATAATGAAGAAGACAATGAAGATAATGATGACCGATAAAGATGAAGGTGAAGATGATGATTATATATAAACTCTTATACATAAAACAATTTGTAACATTATTATAGATTGTATTACAATTTTAATTTATGTAACTTTTTCCTACTTGTAATGTTATATGTTTTAATACATTTATGTTTTAATAACTTATTTATTTGGTTTTTCTACATAGACTTCTACTACACCCTTTATCATATTACACATCCGACACCCCTATTCCTATACCCATCTCCGACCATCTATTCTCATTCCCAAATCACCTACAAATGTTTTTTTATTAATTAACTTATTTTAGGTCTTCCTCGTCACAACCATGTAACATTATCATGCAATCTTCACCTAGTCTCGAATCAACTGATAGTCCTCATGCAACATTATCTTGTATTTATTCATTTCTTGAAATTGGGAGTTTAGACCTTAATGGTCGTAGATGGATTTTTCCAGGACCATCAAACATGTAAGTAAACTTGAGCATTTAAAATATTGAATTTCATTAGTTATTTATGTATTTTAATGTAATTTTATCTAATATTTTATTTTATAGGTTTGATTTCCCAATTTAGCACACAGGTGAAATAACAAGGATAATAAAAGAAATTTTAAGGAAATTGGGAAACATATGGAGAAGTTAAGAGTGAATCTCCAAATGTGACTAGGATGTGATAGGAAGAACTTATGATATATCCATATTTCTTATATTTTTTACTTTTTATAAATTTTCGTACTTGTCAATATTGTTGATAAATAACTTTGTTATGTAGAGAAAGTACAAGTTACCATAATATGACGCCTAAATTCACTACACATATAAAAACATAAAGAGAAGGTTATTCAACTGCTATGTATAGGTGTGACGTGGGGTTGATGCTAGAGATTAGATTCCTATTGCAATGAGAGAATAATTAGATAAAAAATGGAACAATAAAACAAAAACTAATGCTTAAAATAGGAATGTTTCTAATGGTTCATTGAGTATAGGTGGATTAATCTCTAATATGAGCATTTTAAATGTTTGATATGTAATTTTAAATGTTTTCATATTTGTTATTATTTTCAACTAAATCCTAATTTGTAATTATCATGACAACTGCAGATACAACTTCAACTTTTTGAAACTTATTCAAGAAAATTCACAAGATTGTTAAAAGAGATGCATGGTGTCTTCTAAGGCAAAACAAATTACTGTAAGTTTTCAATATTTTTTGTTATTCACTTATTGTTTCATATATTATTAAATATAATTTTTTTCACTTGCTCTTCAATGGAGTTATCCTCAATTCTAAGTGAAAATATTAGGTTAGAAATACTCTCGTTTGAATAATTACTATTTCACTTAAGTAATGTTTACTTAAGTTACTTCCTCCTGATTGGAATCATGCTCACTTAAACGAAATGCAAATGATTTAAATCATGAGTATTTCGACGCTTCAATAACTTTAAATACAATTGAACGGAAGATTCATCATACACGTAACATTAGTCTAAATACAAATTAGATATAATTATAAAACATTCATAAATAATATACAAGTAATTTTTTTTCTTAAATTGACTCCGGTTATTTTTACCAAGTTTTGATTATGCCTAAAGACATAATCCGTGTAATTAATTTGAAGATAAAATCAAACTTAGACTCCCTCAGGAACTATTTTGAGAGATAAGTATATTCTAAAAACGCACATGTTTATGAAGCAAGAGAGGAGAGAAGAGAAGATAAGGGAAAACCATTTTATTGTTTTCCCTGAAAACACAGGGTTCTGAACCAGTACAACTACATAAATATCCTGCTTCAAAACATAGAACTTTACAAGAAAATACACATGCAATCAAATTATCTACTTTTACACTGACTCAAACAACATAGTCTTATGCCGTGCAAGATCATATGTTCCACTTCCTCTAGTCATCATCAACATAGATAGTCTCTTGCTTGAACAGGCCACCAAATACATTCCTCACCTCCTTTGGTTTTTCCTCCTTTGGTTTGCTAGCAGCCCTTCTCGGAGGTGCTTGTTTAACCACTGCTTTGTTTGGCGCCAGGTTCCGAGCCTTGGCTTGTCCCCTTACTGTGGCTAGCTGCACCTTTGGGTCCTCATCCTCATCAGGCTTTTGGATTGAAGTACTAATCTGTGAGCTCAACTTTTCCCAGGAAAACCCTGCACCAAAGTCTTTTGCCTTGTTCAAGATGTTTTCCACCGAGGCTCCAGCTACCTTTGCCTTCTCTTGGGCCTCTTGGGCCAGACTAGCAGCCCGTGCTTCCTGCTGCGAAAGCTTTTTCGCCTCTTGTTCCAACTTCTTTGCTGATTCAGCAGCTTCACTGGCCTTGTCAGCAGCCACTCTTGCCTCCTCCTCTGCCTTTGCTTTTGCCTGCATTTCAGCATAGACTTTCCTTCTTCCATCCTCGGGAATAGGGCTGCAAAGGAATTCATAAATCGGATAAAAACATATACTGATCCTTCTCAGAAGGAAGCAACTCAAATATCATTGTTCTGCTATAGATGAAAAAGGGAAAGCTATGTTTGAGCTGTTTTACCTAAAAAGTTCATCCACACGCTTCAAGGGGGCATTCGGATCCGAGTACACTTTCACCACCTATTAGATGGAGAGAGAGAGAGGTTGTATTGGTCAACGGAAAGCTTAAATCTTTGTAACTTTTCAAATACAATAATTCAAAAGGGTAACGATGTATATAAACATCCCATTATTCAAATACATCACAATCACTTTTATTACTATAATAATAATAATAAAAATATTTTTATTTTCACTTTTCTCTCTTCTTTTCCCGCTTCAAAGTTATCTTTAAGATGTTTGTGTGAGATAGGTTGTCAAATAACTATTTGCATAGTTTCAAGTTTACTTTTTCCGTTTTCTCACTCAATACTAAATTATTAAGATGATTAATAAGAAGATATTAGGCACAACTTTTCAAATATACGTGGTCCTGCGAGGATGCTAATAATCTCAAATAGATATCGGAAATGCAATATTATATCTTCTTTCATATAATACGTGATCAGAAACAAAAAAAAAATGAAATGAAAAAGTAAATTCTAATATTAGAAGAAGAAAAAAATAGTCCGCTGCAATTTAACTACAAGATCAAAGAGTTTTTGTTCTCTATAATCATAATTCGCACAATATCAAAGATTGTGATGAAATCACGATCGCAACCGTGATTGTACTTTAGAACATTGTTAAATATATTAATGTCTTGAAAACTTAAAAGAATTCAATACCTTCTTTATTTGATGTCAGAAGGACTAGTATAAAGGTTTTGAAGGAAAGTTTAGAAATATTCCAGCAAACACTAGATGCATAATCCAGCTAATGTAAAAGGATACCTTGTTTTCTGCTACCTCAGTGTTGGAGAAGACATCAGCTACCAACGATGCAATCTTGGACTTCGCTACCTATTATAATAACCATCATTTTCTAAAAATCTATAACGTACTGGTAAGGGGAGAAAAAGGGAGGGGAAAACAAAAGAAACAATATCATTCATCGCATACATTACATTACTTTATAGTCGTTCGCACTGGTGCTTCCTTCGCCCAAGACGACCACATTGTAGGAACTCTCGGGTGTGAAATCATCCGTCAAACTTGTCTTGATGAATGTGTATTTGACATCAGTTTCAATAACTTTCTGCAGGAACTCTTGTATGGTCAAGGATTGAGACCGGGAGAAGAGGTTATTGAAGAAGGAGGAGAGGCCATCCAGTACATTGTAGGTTGAGGCCGCGGCGCTGCTCTCGTCGTAGATGACAGCCACGTGGCCTACTCCTGCCAGCTGTGCTGCCTGAACCACTTGCAAGGCCTCTGCTGCGGACACCTCTGCCGTCGGGCCGTTCTCTGTGGGACCAATGGTGACAACTACTTTGCTGGCGTTGCCTATGGCTTTGGCTATTGAGTCTGTATTGTCAAAGCTTGATTGCACAGCGTTCAGACGCTTTGCCTGCTCATTTGATATAATCTGTGTATTCACCATCCATGCATTAGATTCCGGAATACACTCCAACAAAGAAATTTCATCAAGAGTAAATGATAAGCAGAAACAAACAAATATTATAACCACAAAACTAATTGTTTCTCTCTTCTTATCATATTATAGCCATTTTTTTTTTCCTCATGGCCACAGATTAGCGTCAAAAAATATTTTTGTTTTCATAAAAGGTCAAACACATGTACCATTGATTGCTCTGTAATACTGGTGATTGCTACGGGGTTTTAGCACTTTTGTTTCTTAGGCAATGAAATTAAAATTAGTATGCTTTCTTGCCACATCGGATCCAGTTCATTAAGTAGTCTTAATATTCTTTTAAAATGTGTCTTTCAATCTCAATATCTTATTTGCAAATTGCATTTTTTATTAGTATCATTTTACGTGGTATATTAATCAATTCTGTGTTTGACTAACGATATAATTTGTGACGTGATGTTCTTAAAAATGTCGTTAGGACTTAGGAGTCGTACTCTAGTTGAAATACTTGAAAATGAATGTTACATTATTACTGGAGCAATCACCATATTCTAAGATAATGTTTAAAATTAAAGCAGCATACAGTATACATGTTACAAATGTGGTTTTTCACGGTGATTTGTGTAAAGGCCAGGTTGATCATATTCTTCTTTTAAAGTACAACCATGTGTGAAAATAAATACGTAATTTAGTAGAAAAAAGTTTGATTTTAAGATGAGAAACAGGAGAGTAATACAATTAGATGCTGCTAGGTGTGAGCTTGCAAAGGTTACCAAGTGATCCTTGAGACGTTCACAATTTGAAGATTGAAATAGGCAATGAAAATTAAAACGGAAAATGTTTACCTTGTATTGAGTAGCAAGACGAGCCAATTCCTGTGCAGAGCCAAGTTCGGGGACTCCAGCTCGTACACTAAAACCTTCCCTAAGCAGCGTTTGTGCAATGCGAATACCAGCCTGCCCTGTTGCGCCAGCAACAAACACTGTTGAAGGATCCTTGCGCCTTGGATTTCCAAATGAAAAACCTGGCGAAGAATTGTTGGTTGGAAGCGGGATCAAGGTAGTTACATCAGGTATCTTTCCAAAGTCCAAACCAAAGGGGTTTGAATTGGAAGAGCTATCTTTGTCTTCAGGAGAATCATCTTTGGGTTTGCCTAGCCCAAATGATGGGAATGATCCGGCCTTCTTGGCGAAGACTCTGAGCCTTGGATTCCGGAGGGACAACCTTGAGTGGGGCGTTGTGGTCAAGAGAGATGAATTGGACGTAAGAGTGGGAGTCATGGATGGATTTCCGAGGTCACCCTCGCCTTCAATAGGAGGCAGTAGACGTCTTTTGGATTGTGTACCTCTCTAGCTCCTCACCACACTCTATACCTCACCCTTTCTATCATTGCTTTTGTTTTGTTCGTCTTATGACAATTATCTGAATTGGAGGGGCAACCGGAGTCTAGCCAATTGTCTCCAGCCACGTAGTCAGATTTTATCCATTGCGGAAATATCGAACACCAAACGTTCCAATACCACAGAAAATGACGTTCGCTTTTAACACATTGATCCGAAATCGTATCCCCTCTAGCTGTGTTTTCGTCCATTAATGAAGCACTGTGGTAGTTACGGAATTATTTTACACTGAAAATTTGGGATAAGGGTACAGTGTCCCAACCCAATATAAGGTTGGAAAAGCTTTCATTTGCAAACAACTCAACTTACATTTATCTCGGCTAAAAAGTAGATTTTCGAATTTTTCATCTGTATATTTGTGCACCATTTGCATGTTACAGTCACAAAAATAGATAGAAACAGAAAAATATATAATGTAGATCGTAAGTTTCAAACAAAATATTATGCTTAAACTCTGAAGGAAGAAGTCCGTCCCTTACCTATTAGTAAGTTCCAATAATATAGTTAATAATAAATTGAAACTCCATAATTAACAACCAAAGAAAAATATCCGTGGCCGTAGGATAAAAAGGGAGAGGGGTTACTTATGCTTAAAGTGATTAAGAAATATCCGGAAGATTTATTTACAAAAATTCTTATAAATAAAAATATTATGTTATTATGAATTATATATATAGAAGTTACTTAAAATTAAACAAAATTATTTATAAACAATTTTTTCTACTTAAACATATTTCTGTGAGTCACGATAAAATAATATTTTTAATTCTTAATCCATTCTTATAAATAATAATACTACTATCAGATATACTCTTGATATAACAAATTTTACTCTTAGTTTTCCTTAACTCCTGGCTGCATCCACCAGACTCGCCAGATTTTGTTATACGTCAAATAAGTTAATTTAACAGGTAAATAAATAGCTGAATCTGGAATATTAATAGAGACGATCGTTCAAATCGAGAATGGCAGCAGTATGCTTCTGCGGTTGTTTGATTATTCCTGAAAGGAAAAACTTGAATTGACATCCAAATATTTCTCTACATATAATAATCAACCATAAAATAATATTTATTATTTTGATTGATTAAAAATATATAGAATAGATAAATAAATAATAATATAAAAATATCATGACTCGTTCTGAAGATCAGTACCTTTTTATAATAAAAAAGTATGAAAGATAAATTGAAATATATATATATATATATATATATATATATATATATATATATATATATAATTGCATCGATATGCTAAAATAAAAATAGTAAACAAACAATAATTGTACAAAATCTTCAAAATTCATTCTCATACATTTTAAAACAACACAATTCCTGAGAAAATAATTCTTCACAATGGTAACAAATAAAATTTTTAACAAATATGACCCCCTGTGGAAAATAACTCCGGGATGAACCCACTTCAAACAGTATATCAATCAATACATTAAATACCTTTTTAAAAAAAATTTGTATAATCATTTTACTTATTAATTATTTTTAAAATAAGGCTTAAAAAAATATCCCATAAATGCTTTCAAATTAATCTTCAAACATTTTATTTATTTATATTTAAAAAATAAAAAGTCCAACAACGTACTAACGCCTTCTGTTTTAAAAAACTACCAAATTTCATTCTCGTCGAGTGCGTTCACAACACGGGACGAATCTCGCTTTGGAATTCCTCGTAGGCAAAGGGCGAAATATACGTTTATGCAACCAAGAAAACCTAGAAACAAGCTTTCCTTTGATCCTTTGACCGTGTAACAGTTCAATACTCGGATCATAATGTAAAAATAAACAAGGTGTTACCATTGCAACGAAGCAGGGAAATCAAAAGCAATTAAATTGCCCCATACGAAGCAACCATAGGACCCACTAGACTGGAATACGCAAGTAGATACACGACAACACATTTGTACAACAAAGCATACAGCTACATCAACCTCGACGGACTGAACAAATACATCAAGGGAGAATTCCGGGAAACACGGCCCAGGAACAACTCCTGAGATGCAAACGTTAGTCATGAAAAATATACAGCGGTAAAGAAGCACCTATGTTATATACAACAGAGTTACCTATGAAGCTCTTCTAGAACTAGAAAAATGGCCAAAAGAATGAATACTTCACCTGAATTGAAGTTCAAAATTAAGGTCTGCACATGGTCTTCTCACCAGGTCATCTAGAGTTGACATAAAATTCATCTACCAATTGACCAGAAAGCTAATTTAGTATAAACCTCATTAACAGTATTACTAAGACCTTCAGGATTAATCTGGTCTAAATAGGAAACTAGTCAACATTACTAAGCACATCAAAGCCATAGGTATAAATAAAGAAAACAAACGTAGAACAAACCCAGATAACAGAAAAAACAATCAAAGACAGAACCATGATGCACCACCCAGAAAACATGAAATTCCCAACTAAGGGGAGACAAATATTACCAGTAAATATAGGACAATGTCTGCATAGAGTTGTACTCAACAGATTTGCTCAGTAAGCGTCATTTATCCATTTCCGCTGCCAGCATTAAAGATAGATAACATCAAACAGTTACCAAAAAATAAACAAACATAACATTTGTAAAGGGGAAGTTCTTAAACAAGCTAAGATATTTCTCAAGTTTTTAAAGCATAAAACAACTTAAAGCTCAGAAGTGATGCGTTTAGTTATTCATGCCCCTCTTTGCTTTGAGGGATTCAAGAGCCTTGTTCCGTAATTCAATCTCAAGCTTCTTTTGCTCAGATGGTGTCTCTTCACCATCACTTTGATGATAATCCATTCGTTCAGCTTCCTCATCATCTGAAATGTTGTCTGTTTTACTCTTCATTTTCAGCTTCTCCATGCGCCGTTCTTCTCTTCTGCGACGCCTCTCTTCCCGTCTTCTCCGCTTTTCCTCCTTCCGCAACTTTTTCTCCTCTTTTTTCCTCTTCTTAGCCTCTCTCCTGCCTTCTAACTCCGAATCATAACTAAAATCCTCATCAGAAGATGCATATTTTTTCTCAGACCTTTTGTGCTTTCTCCTGTCCTTTCCCTCTCGTCTATGTTTACCACTTTCCTCAGAAACAGAATCATATGAATAACTCTGATTGACACGATCATCTTTCCCAACTAAATCTTGAGTGGCTTCGGATTTGTGGTGCCGATCACCACTTTTGGCATAGTTTGAACGGGATTGGTTGTCATCTGATTTTTTAATATCTACAGCATAGGATTCATGAGGCTTATCCCTGGAAAAAGTTTCCTTGTTCACTAATGGCTTTTGTTGAGTAGGAAACTCATTGACTTTTCCAGAAGATTTATCCCTGCCAGAAGAATTTACCATTATCAGATATGTATGCAGTGTACAAGCATTCAAATTAGTTAGAACAGCTGCAGTACACCAACCATTACCGTTTTATCTCCCTGCCTTTCTTACTCCAGTCATTGTTATGTTCAGGAGCCAGATGACCTGAAACCCTTTCAGGAGAGAATGCATCCTCGTCACCATATTTTGCAGATGAACCTTTCCTCTTACTAGCGGGGGAGTGTTTTGATATCTTTTGGGATGAATTCATTTTAGGATCTCTTCTTTCTCTAACAAAGATGTAAAGAAAATGAGAAAAAAGAACAAACAAAACAATAAACAAATCTATTACAGTAACATGTATTCTTCAAAAATTAAACCAACTAGCTTAAAAGTTATCTAATTTAACATCAAACCTGGAATAAGTTTCTTCTGCTTCATCTCTTGTCTCTGGGCTGTCATGGCTAGGCTTCTGGTTTCTTTGTTTCTTCAAAGGACTCGAGCTTCTTTTATTGGACAACTTTTCTCTTTGTTTCATAGGGCTCTTGTGAGGACTAAATATTTGCACAGAGCAAAAGGTAAGTGTACATACACATTTCAAATCAGAGCAATGTTGGTGAGATAAGATCATAGCATAAGTCAAGAAAAACTACCTTCTACCTTCACTGCTGGTCTCACTCCTTTCTTCTGCCGATACAGATCGATTTGGAGACTTCTCAGGGGTGGACATTGATACTTGTGATTTATAGTGCGAAGCTTTACCACTTTTATCTCTTCGTACGGACCCCAATGGACTATATATGTCACCAAATATTTTATAAATTTGCAATCAAGAACAAACCACTTTTTTACTTAATTTTGCAGTTGTCATTATAAAATTTCTCAGTTGAAAATTGAAACCTACTTCAAAAATGAATAAACAATCTGTTATTTGAAATTTTTCTTTTTAAAAAGCTTTAATATTAAATTAACAAATTCAACTGGAGACAAGACGGATGACAATATTATTCAAGCATTTCCTAAATGCTACTATACCTGACTCTTTTCATAGAAGACTGTGTGGGACTTCTTTGGTGTCTCGGAGAATTTTTCGGAATTGGAGAGGTTGATACATGTCGAATTGGAGACTGAGAACTCCACTCATCTCGAAGAGACCTCTGAGGGGAGATACTTGGAGATCTATTCTTGGCAGGAATAGGTGATCTACGATGCAATCGAGATGGAGAGTGTGGAGGAGTTTCACTACCATACCTTCGTCTTATTGGGGAGGGTGATTGCATGGGGGATTCTGATCTATTCCGTGCAATGGTCAGTGGTAGTCGGTGCACTGGTGAAGGTGACCTACGCCGAGTGATAGGTGATCTTCGTCGTCTAGGTGAAGGTGATCTCCGTAGTCCAAGAGGTGAAGGTGAACTATGCCGATGACCCGGAGAAGGAGATCTGTGACGACGACCAGGAGACGGTGATCTGTGTCTGCGACCAGAAGAAGGTGATCTACGCCGTCGCAATGGAGGAGGAGATCTACGTCTTCTCACTGGAGAAGGAGATCTACGTCTTCTCACTGGAGAAGGAGATCTATGTCTTCTCACTGGTGAAGGAGATCTATGTCTTCTCACTGGTGAAGGTGACCTCCGTCGTCGCACAGGTGAAGGAGACCTCCGTCGTCGCACAGGTGAAGGTGATCTACGTCGTCGCATAGGTGAAGGTGACCTCCGCCGTCGAAAAGAAGGTGAACTTCGATGGTGCACTGGAGAATGCACTCTGCGTCGTATAGGAGAAGGAGATCTGTAACTTGAGTGGGATCTGGATCTTCTCCTCAAATAAGGTGGCCTCCTATGAGGGGAACGTCGTGGTGAATGCCTGTGAGGAGAAATTGATCGCCTTTGTGGAGAATGGTGAATCTTTTCAGAAGAAAGAGAGCGCCCTCGAGCCACTGGAGACCTAGATATACTCTTTGACCTGTGTCTACCACTAAACAACATACACCCATTAATACAAAATGACAAATCAAAATTAAAATAAAATGCAGTATTATTCTTGTTAGACTAAAGGGTGGGAACAAAATAGAGAACCAATAAGTGGCCAAGTTGCATTTAATTACACATCAAATTAGGATAAACATATGGCAAAAGGTACAAGAATGAATTAAATCAAAGGAAATTAACTTAGCAAATATACAAGCATACCCTGAATAACTTCGGGAATTTGAAAATGATTTGCTCATTGACCTTGTAGGTGAGCCTCTGCAGGAAATAGCAAATACTACATATACACAGCCTTCCAAATTCAATATAGAAATGAAAACTACATTTAATAGTTAGTTTTTAATAGTGTTACCGATGAGGTGAAGTGGAAACTGCAGGTGAATGTGGGGACCTAGAAAGCCTATAATAGAGTAACAGCCAATTAGTACTTGAGAATTCAATTGTAAAGTTTCAAGAAGCAGAGTCGTGTTCATCAATATTCTCTACACTCAAATAACAAAGCAAAATTAATGAAAATAAATGTGCATTGCGTGATCGACATCACTTGATAACCTTTAAAGATGAAATTCCATCCATATCTAATGTAATATTCAAATATCACATTTCACATACATAAATGAATTAAAACAACTTCATTCATAATGCCATAAGTTTCAAAAGGAACACCTCTTATTAGATAAACAGACCTCTTATACATATAGTGAGTAACACCTTATATTTCCACTTGGGCGTATTTATGCAAGGGTTTCTAGGTCATTAGCTAGATTACGCCAAGTATCTTCCACCAAATATAACAACATAATAATCTGATGACTGTAAGAAGCTAAAACACTTTTAATTCATATTCTGATGCTTGACCCACATGGAAACCATAAAAAAATAAAACAAATATCATCACGTGTAATTATTAAAAGAAAGAATTAATCCATTTCACCTGCTCCTTGCCCTGAAACCATTCCTCTTGTCAGGTTCTTTCCCATCCCGATCATACCCTGAATCCCTGGGCTTTGATGTTGGAGCTGATGCAGTATCATTATCCTTGGAATCAAATCCACCGTCCTACAGTAGTTTGAGGTAAAGGACATGAACCCAAATAATTGCAGAAGCTAGCTGAACGCCATGGAAACACAAATGAAAGTTAAAACCAAAATCTCAGCTCTAGAAAATGTAACTCCAGCATGTACAAAGTAGTATTACCATTTTCTTCAACCTCTCTTCCATGATCTCTCTACCTTCCTTATCCTTTTTCCTCTGAATTTCACTGGCTATCTTGTCGTTTTCAGCCTAAAACATTCACAAGAAAAACCTTTTTTCAGAAACCTCCAAAAGTAAAGAAAAAAGGTATTTTAGGACCAAATAAATTGCATATCGAGACTAAATAGAACCTTCTTCTTCAGAAGTTCTTCTTCCTTGGCATCCAAGAACTGCTGAGGAACACCACTGGCATTTTTCTGTGCACTGAGAAGAAGTGTCCAAAGTTCTTTCATGAACTTTCCAGTGTTTTTTTCCATAAATCCAGTAATTTGTATTTGAACTTCCTTTCCATTCACTTCCTGCATCATAAACAATAGAATGTGACCAAATGATGGAAATTCAAAACACAAATATGTGAAAAAAGTTGGTGATAAACCAAAGGAAAATAGCAAAATATGCATGACTACATGTACATATTACTGATAGTTCAATTTAAGGAGGTGTAAGACTTCATAATCAAAACCTGTAAGCAAATAGATGTTAGGTAAATAAATATAACATAAATTTCAACAATCATTCATTGAGATGGGGGTGGAATATAAATTACAAAGGTGAAAACGCTTTTCGATCTCCAAGATTATAATCATAAATTTACCTTAGCATCCAGAAGACTGTGTATGAAGTTAATAAGCACTTCGTCCTCGAAACCAAGAAGCTCGGTCACCCTTCTGGTGATCCACGGCTTAATTACTTCCATATTCACCTTCGTCATGTCCACCTACAAACCATATATCAAGCATATCTGAATTTGAAACAAAAAGTGGCAGACAGAAAGGATGTGACTACTCATTAGTGTAAGTTGTATTCATAAAGTTCACCCATCTTCGTTCCAAACAGCAAAAGCATTTCAACAAACCCTAAAAATTATAGATCAAATTTAACCAAGGAAACAGACCAGATGCTCCAATTCCGGTGGAAACTTCTGTGATTTCATCAGCTTCGCTTGCTTATTCGAAAACCGAGTGTCCTGGTCCGCAGATGTGCCCTAAATACAAAATTCAACAAACCTTAAGTATCACGTTGCAATTAAGATAACAAAAAATAGAATAACATAGAAGATCTGAGAAATGTTGAGATAAGTTAGGTTCGATTCAACAGGCGAAAAAGTTAATTCCAAGCTCAAAGGCGTCGCTATACTAACTCGAAAGAAACCGCCCGACATCTTCTGATGCCAAACGTCTCCGAACGCAGAGAAGAGTGTGTGGCGGAGATTGGGAGCGAGAATCCACAACCGCAGAAAGGTGGATTCGGAGCAGAACTTAGGTTTAACCTATGGCACGGCCACTACACCGATATAAATAAGGTAGAGAAGATTGATAGGTTCTGATTCTTAGCACTGGTTGAGAAGAGAAGAGAAGAGAACCAAGCTCCAGAGTTCGAGCGCAGACTCGCTATGCTTCCCCACGGAACTGTGTTACGTTTCAGACCCTACTGGAAGCGTGCCCTAATTGCACTGACACAATTACAAAATCATCCCTCGCGTATGCAAATACAGTTCTATCTATTGGTGTATTGAATCCTTTGCTTCGCGTGCGGGTAGATAATTAAACATAAGGAGAAATTATTTTTCTTATGATTGTTTAAAAACTATATTTGACTGGGAAAAAAATATAATGAGAAATAGAACTTAATTAAAAAATTATATTTAAAATATATTCATCGTAAAAGTTATTTCCATAAATTCAGTGATTTATTTAAACCATTACAAATTTTAGATATTTATTTAAAATTTTCTTACTTTCAGAAAATAAGATACAGTTTTAAAGATTAAAGTAGTTATTTGCTTTAATAATTAAATTACTTATCAATATTAATATTATTGATGGATCCAAGTGGTGGTGTGTTTCTTGATTAAGTAGTTTATTGGTATAATTCGCAATAATGATTATTTTTATAATGTTAGTAGTAATGATAAGATCGATGGAATTTTATGGATATATTGTTAGTTGTGAAGTAGTAGTATGATGATATCCAGTTTATCATTCTGTTCAGCTTATCAAACTCTGGGAATCCCTGAAATTATGCTATTGTGTAGGTAAATAGAGAATTTGAGTTATGCTAGTTTTTCTATTTAGTCACGGTGCTTTGGTGAATTAAAGGTGTCATCGAGTATTTTGTAACTCTTCTTTGATTATAATTCTTATTCAATTACTAAGAGCACTGAAAATTAGATAACTCATTTTTTTAATACCCATCTTATAACTCCTTTTTAATAATAAAATTATTATAAATAAAAACATTTAAATTTTATTAATAATAATAATGAGATGAGAAAATAGCTGTTCATCTAAGATGGAGGAAGATGAGAAAATTCCTTAATACTTTCACGGTTGTTATTGATGTTGGCCTGAGGATGAGCAAAATTTGACATTGTTGTATGGATAGGTGTTCTCCAGAGGCATTTCCTGAAGCTTGTCATTTGTCAAGTGGATATGTATATCTTCTAATTATGCATTAGATGTTTTTTTTCCCACTTAGAGACTCATTTTTCTAGGTTCCAATACAATCTATGAATTTTATTCAAAAAAGGTGAAAAGAAACATGTCAATTTTGAGTTTTATAGCAACTTTAGAAAATTATAATGGTTAATATAATTTTAAATTAAAATGATATTCTTGTTTTAAGTCGGCTTCTACGTCAAAAATTTATAATATTAATTCACAATTATATTTCTTATTATTATACTAAAAAATAATTTAAATTTTTATGTATTTTAATAAAGTATTTTGTAATTTTAAAAAAATTTAAACATACTAAATTCAATTTATTTATTTTAAATTATTTTATTTTGTAAATGATTGGTTTAGAAAAATCAATTCAAATTTATTAAAATTTAATTTTTTATTTGAATAAAATATAATTATTATTAAATATAAAAATTATCATTATTAAATTTGTGAATTAGGCCTAACTCAAAATAAATGACTCTTCACTATGAGGATGATAGATTAGATCAAGTCAAATCGAGATAAATCAGACTAATAAATTTGGGCCTAATTAAAACAAATTTTACTAAGTTGAGAAAATTAGGTTAAGTCAGGTTAAGCTAACAAATTAGGATGAGTTCGATCATATCAAACTATATTAAGATTAGTTAAGTCAAGGTGAATTAGATCATGTTAAGTCAAGTTAAATCAAGATTTGTCGATTAGATGGTAAACGAATAAGACAAACCAAAATAATATAGGTTCGATTAAGCTACGACAAGATTTGTCGAGTCAAGAAAGGTCAAATCAAAATAAATTAGATCAAGCTAAGACGAGTCAAGTTAGATAGGTTAAGTCGAGGTGGATTGCTTACTCTAATAGGTGGGTTGAACCTAATAAATAAGGGATGAATCAGGTTATGACAGGTCAGGTCAAGATGGATTGGACTGCATCAAGGTGAGTTAGGTTAGGTTAATATAGGATGAATTAGATTAAAAGTGGTCAAGTTAGGATATATAGTTCAAGTATGGTCAAAACATGTCAGACTAGTTCATACCATATTATTAAGGCAAATTGAGTCAAGCTTATTATAAGTGTTTAAGAACTTACTAAGATCCTTGTTATAAGTGTTCAATAACTTACTTTGATTCTTTATGAAATATCTCTTTGATAGTTATTCATATTTTTCCTTCTCTTATTTTCTTTAATGACTTTCTTGATAATATAGAATGGTTGTAAGATATTATTCTTTTGTCAAGTCTCTTTTGTTTTGAAGAATGTAACTCTTGGAGAGAGAAAGAGAACAATTTTATATTCATGATAACTCCCTCAAATGGTTAATATTTAAAACATTTACGAAAATACTATTATGTTCTTAATGAAGTGAGAAAAGAGAAAATTAATTTTAATATATCTAAATTAATTTTCATAACTATCATATATTTATAATTTAATAACCATCCCATTAGAATTTTTACAAGTCATTTTATAAATTATATTAAAATAAAAAAATTAATATTATCATACTAGGCTCATGTGATGACTTGAAATTCCAACACTAAACTATAAATGCACATTATATATTGAACTTATCAAGTTATTAGTCTTCATTGGATTATGTTAGAAGATTCGATCATGGCGGTTACAAGTTATCCAATAACAAGATTCATTTCATGTATCATAACTAACCCAACTTAACTTTAACTAAAATTGTAATGAGTATCTTTAATCTTATTTCAAAGGCACATCTTGTCATTTCACTAAACAAACCAAAATGTATACATTTAATGTGAATGAAAAATAAACCAACATATCTATAATTGAATTTACAAGTATCAAGTAGTACAATCATAAAGTATATATACCAAACTACATTGTTACCAAGAACTTATCTATAATATTTATTCTTTCAACATGATCAATAAATGTCTTAAGTGGTAAATCTTTAGTAACGACAAATTTGCTATCATTAAGTTTGTAACAATATACTCCATTGACACCTTTTGTTTCTTTACTTTTATAATTAATAAATACTTTAAATCCATGTGTTTTGCTCCTTTTGAGTATTTATCATTCTTAGAAAAGAAAACAATATTAAAATTATCACAATAAATCTTCGGCAATCTAGTTATATTATCAATGATACTAAATCCTAAAATAAATGTTTATAATCATAATGCTTGAATTGTGGCTTCAAAATATGCTACAAATTTAGCATCTATGATAGAAGTGACAATAGCAGATTATTTTATACTTTTTCATGATATTGCTCTTCCCACAAAAAAAAAAGATATATCAAAATGTGAATTTCCTTAAGTCCACACATCCGGTAAAATATGAATCCGAATAGCTAATTACTTCAATATGATCTCACCTTTTATATGTGAGCATGTAATCCTTTATGTCTGGTCAATAATTAAAAACTTTTTTTTGCAACTTTTTAATGTTCTATAAGATTGCTTTGATGTCCACCCAACATTCTTATGACAAAACTATTGTTTGGTCCACTACATGCTTGATATACATCAAACTCTCATCCACTTATGCATAAAGAATATATTTCATTTCATTTTGTTCCAAGTTATTTATGGGACATTGCATTTGATTAAACTTGTCACCTTTTTTGTATTGGAACACTCCCTGTAGAGCACTCTGTCATTCCAAATCTCTTGGATACCTTTTAATATATGATTTTTGAGAGAATCTAAGCAAACCTTGTGATCTGTCATAAAATACTTTTATTCTTATCACATAGGATACCTCACTCATATCTTTTTTATTCCAGAGTTACTAGAGATAAACTTTTTTGCATCATGCAACATAGTAACATTATTAGTAACAAGTAGAATATCATTAACATATAAGAATAAAATTACAAATTTGCTCTCACTGACCTTCATGTAAATACACAAATCAATAGTATTCTTTACAAAAACATACAACGTGATAGTATAATTGAACTTGAAATACTATTATCTAGAAGAAGTCTGTGTTTAGTCTATATATTGACCTCTTTAATTTACACATAATGTTTTCCTTTTTATATGGTAACAAAGTCTTTAGGTTGGTCCTTACAAATTTCTTTCTCTAAGTTATCATTTAGAAATATGATATTGACATCCATTTGGTAAAACTCTAAATCATAATGAGTCATCAAAGTCAAAACAATTTTCAAAAAATCTTTCTTAGAAATAAGAGAGAAAGTCTCTTAGTAGTCAATGTTATCCGTTTGAGTGAAACTTTTGACAACTAGTCTAGTTTTATGTTTTTTAATATTTCTTTTTGAGTCACACTTGATCTTAAACACTCATCTACAATTGACTCTTTTTAAACATTTAAGTAACTCAATTAGATTTCATACTTTATTTTCATCTATTGATTTCAACTCTTCTTTCATAACATTCAACTACTTTTCTGAATTGTCACTTCTCATACTTGTTTAAATGAGACTTAATCCTCATCAATACTCAATTCTTATTTATATTCAAATGAATACATAATAAAATCACTTGAAATAACTAGTCTTATTTGCCTTTTAGACTTTCTTGGTGTTATTCCATGCATCTTTTCTATCACTTGCTCATTGGTGACTTGCACATTATTTATTGGTTCATTAACCATATGCTTATCTTATGGGCTTTGGATATCATTGTTGTATTTTTATTATATATATATATAAGAAAAATTCATCATATCATATATTTAATAAACCCTAAAAATTTGGAATAATTAGAGAAAAACATAATAATTTTCTAATAATTCCCTCCAGCTATAACATTTAAAACACTTATTAAAAGATTATAATATCCATAGTGAAGTGAGAACAAAAATAATTATTTTTAATATCTCTAAAATAATTATTATGGTTTTAATACATTTATAATCGAATAATGATCACATTAAAATCTTTATACTAAAGTCATTCTATAAATTATATTAGTCAATATTAAATTAAAATAATTTATCAAAATTAGGTTAAGTCATATTTATCAAATTTGACCAATCCATATGAAAACATGATTGAGATGGGTTGAAAAAAAATCTCAATTGAAATTACATAAAAAAGAAAATATGAAGATAAAAAACATAAATTTGATAAAGAAAAAAAGTAAGGATTTCAAATTCGTGAAATTTGAAATTTTCTTATAAGTAATAAATAATTGAATACTTTCAATCATTTCAACTACTTTTTACATTCGTAATCCAACCAATCAATTATTTTAATAAAATAATTCAAATATTCTAATAAAATGAATTAATCTCTATATTTTTGTCATCCAAACATAAGATAAAAATATACTAATTTAGATAAATAAATAAAAAAAAACAAAGAGTGGAACATGATTAGGGTAAGAAAATGAGCTAAAAAAATAGTTATGTTATTCACTAAAAAAATAGTAAAGAAATATGTATTTTTCTACGGTAACATGTGACATTTTTTTTATTATTATTTATATAAGAGTAGAAGGTCAAATAAAGATATATATATATATATATATATATATATATATATATATATATATATATATATTAAGATATATAAAAGAAGAAGGAATTTTTTTTGTTTTTTATTCCTTCAATTCTTACTACAATTTTACAAATATGTATATTGTGAGTGAAAACAAACTAATTAAGGGGTTTTGGTAAATGGTAGAAGGCATACAAAAGGTAACCACTACTTGGTCCGTCTAACATAATGGAATTTCCCATATCAGATGCAAATGTTAATATTGATAATCTTGTCCTTTTAAAAGTAACTAAGTTGTCAATAACGCTCGTGTTCTAAGTAGTTACTGGAAAGAAGGCAATGATGCTTGTAGAAAAAGATTTTTGAATATTTGACGCCTCCATCTACTTAAGTTGGTATTTAAATAAAATATGCACAAAAGATCACAATAGGGAGTGAGAACATTTATCATTTACAATAATACAATCTTAATATATA